AAAACCTTAATTTTACTATAGTGCCTAAATTGATATTTTGGAGCCCATGGTTCAATGGTATAGGAGGTGTTGCGGATAAGAGATCCCCCCCCAAGTGTTACCGAAGGACGTACGTACGGACACCCCTATTACTATATATTCCTCTCTGCTCTCTTCTCGGGGGCATATAGTTTTTGCTCTTTTCGTCCGTCTGTCTGCAAAACCTTTAAACTTCCCCACAACTTTTAATCGGTTGGAGCTAGGGCTTTCATACTTTACATGTGTATTCCTTGTGATAAGACTCCTTTGGGTACCAACATATTTGATCTCTTGACCTTGGAATTTGGTCCACTTTTGCAAATTTTACCTTGGCCATAACGTTTGATGCTTCACATATGTATTCCTTGTGGTAAGACCAACCCTTGGGCACAAATATTTTTGACCTTGGAGTATGACCTACTTTTAAAAAACTTTAAGCTTCGCTATAAGTTTTGAATGGTTGGAGCTACGGCTTTCATACTTTACACACGTGTTTTCATTGTGACAAGGACTTTCTTTGGGTATCAGTCATTTTGACCTTGGAGTTTTACCTACTTTTGAAAAACTTAACCTTGGTCATAACTTATGAATGGTTGGTGCTAGGGCTTTCATGTTCCACATGTGATTTCCTTGTGACAAGACCTTTCTTTGGGTGTTAACAATTTTGACCTTGGAGTGTGACCTACTTTTGAAAAACTTTAAGTTTTGAAAGGTTGTAGCTAAGGCTTTCATATTTCACATGTGTATTCCTTCCCTTGGGTACTAACAATTTTGACATTGACCTTGGAGTTTGACTACTTTTGGACTATTTTATCCTTGGCCATAGCTTTTAAGTGGCGAATGTTAGGGCTTTAATATTTCACCTGTGTTTTCCTTGTGACAAGAACTTTCTTTGGGAACCAACAATTTTTACCTTTTGACTTTGACCTTGGAGTTTCGCCTACTTTTGCAAACCTTAAACCTTGACCATAATTTCTGAATGGTTGGTGCAAGTGCTCTTGTATTTGATACGTATATTTCTTGTGACAAGAGCTTTCTTTGGATACCAACAAATTTTGACCTTGAACTTGGACTTTGACTTGTATTTGAAAAACTTTAACCTTCGCCATGAGCTGCCGTGCGGAGGCATCAATGTTTCACAAACACATTTTGTTTTCCATATGAAAACCATCCTTTATTAAAAATTATTTAAATGTTGTGAAATTCAGTTATTCCCAAATAAAATAATGCAACTACATGTATTGTTTTTCCTAGTTAAGTCTGGTATTTGGCAACAATTGGAATTGTTTAGACACGTATCTCAATATTACCCCACATACAAACTCGATAGTCGCCCGCGTGGCGCTGTGGTTAGAGCGTTTGCTCTAGAGTTGTGAAGTAAGGAGTTGATCCTTATGTCGCAGGTTCGAATCTCCCACTGGGACGTGGAGAATGGTCCTTCGGATGAGACCGTAAAACCGAGGTCCCGTGTCGCAGTAGGTGCTGGCACGAAAAAGAAAAAAGGATATGGTTATCTGTCAAACATCTGACGATGTACTTCACATAAAACTAATGAACATATACCTAGTACACAAACATGACCACTTGGCCACTAATGAAGATGAATGATATTTGTGAATAAGTAATTTTTATTATCATGCACTATATTGCATTTGAATAACTTTGATTGTTTCAAAAGATAGCTTGCTAGCTACATGTAATTCCAAAATATTATATCCAAACCAAAGAATATACCCAGACTACGTTTAATGTATACAGTATTATGTCAAGATAGATTCATAGTCATTAGTGTTTCATTTTTTAACATTGTAAGAATGGGCCTAAAATAGGGTGAGCACAAATAATAATGACATGTGTTAAAAACAAGAGGCCCAAGGGCTTAACGGTCACCTGAGTATAATACAACACTATAAAGACACAATAGAAGTATCAAATAAAATAAACTGATCGATATGAAGCTATGTTACCCTAAAACAAGAGAAATAGGAAGATCATGGATCAAAAAAAAATTATTCTAGTACTCTTTAACAAATGTTAAAGTTCTATTTAATTGCCTATACTCGTATTTGCCCCTTTTTAGCTTACCTGAGCCGAAGGCTCAAGTAAGCTTTTCTGATCAAAATTTGTCCGTTGTCTGTCGTTGTCGGTGTTGTCGTTGTAAACTTTTCACATTTTCATCTTTTTCTCCAGAACTACTGGGACAATTTCAACCAAACTTGACACAGAGTATCCTTGGGTAAAGGGGATTATAGTCTATTCAAATGAAGGGCCACACCTTCTTTCAAGGGGAGGTAATTACGAAATAGCGAAAAATTAATGGCATCATTGAAAATCTTCTTCTCAAGAACCAATGGGCCAGGAAAGATGAAACTACATGTAACGTGGAATCATTGTCAGGTAGTGTAGATTCAAATTTGTTCAAATCGTGGCCCCCGGGGGTAGGGGGCCACAGTGGACGATCAAAGTTTAACAGAGGAGTATATAGGAAAAATCTTAAAACTTCTCAAGAACAGCAAAGCCATGATTGGTCATATTTATATGGAAGCATCCGCAGGAGGTGTAGATTCAAGTTTGTTCAAATCATGACCCCCGGGGGTAGGGTGGGGCCAGAATGGAGGATCAAAGTTTAACCTAGGGGTATATAGGAAAAATCTTAAAATTCTTCTTCCCAGAACAGCAAAACCATGATTGGTCATATTTATGTAAAAGCATCCTCAGGTGGTATAGATTCAAGTTTGTTCAAATCATGACCCCCGGGGGTAGGGACGGGCCAGAATGGAGGATCAAAGTTTAACATAGGGGTATATAGGAAAAATCTTAAAATTCTTCTTCCCAGAACAGCAAAGCCATGATTGGTCATATATATGTAAAAGCATCCTCAGGTGGTATAGATTCAAGTTTGTTCAAATCATGACCCTCGGGGGTAGTGTGGAGCCACAATGGACGATCAAAGTTTAACATAGGAGTATCTAAGAAAAATCTTTTCAATGCTAAACTGATTTTTGCTTTTTTCCTAGCCAAAGTGCTCAGGTGAGCGATGTGGCCCCTGGGCCTCTTGTTTACTATATCATCATGTAAACAAAACAACACAATAGTGCTTGAGTATTGTTAGTTAACCCATCTCATTCCCTTTCACATTGGTTTTATGAATAATTTGAATGCAAAGCTATAATAAAGTAAGTTATAATTATTTTAAGAAATTGTGTAGGCCTTTTTTTACTTTCTATTTATTTTTTTCCAGTAGCATAAATATCTTTAAAATTTGAAACTGGGTAGGGTGCATGTCCCGAGATGGCTCATTTTTGTTTGATATCCCCAGTGGCTCAATGGCTAAGTCACTTTCAAAACGCTTTGGTAACACGTTGCGAAATAAATAAGAGTTTTAAACTTCTAGGCGGCTGTAGAATAAAGGAAAAAGAAACACCAAGTTTTTAGCAGCCTTCTGGCAGAAGAACTTCTATGAATGACTGGTTACATTTCCTTCTACAAACATTTTAGTTTCATTTAGGCCTTTTCACCTTGAAATGAATTGTCGACGGATTTTCCGTTATTTCCCGATCATGACAAGGAGCACACGGCAGGTGTGACCGGTCGGCAGGGGATGGATGCTCACTCCTCCATGGCACCTGATCCTACCTCTGAATTTTTAGAGGTCCGTGTTTGCTCTGCCCTTATTTTGTAATGTTTGGTGGACTTTTGAGCTCGAATGCTGTTCGTTGTCTCCACATATTTCAATCAAAAGGAGTAGTCTTTAGACCATAGGGAATTCTGATATATTTCCCTGAAAAAGGTCAAATAAAGCAGAAGTTATCTCCTAGAAAATGTTATGTCCAATGTATTAATTTCTGGTCTTGAACCTTTTGACCTCAAAATCAATAGGGGTCTTGTTTAGGCCATTTAGAGTAGTTGTATAAAATTTCATTGCAAAATGTCTAAGGCTTTTTAAGACGTCGCCCGGAAACGAAAATGTTACACAAAGAATGTAGGAATTTATGACCTTGACCAGGACAGAGCAGAATATTTTTAAAGAAATGAAGTATTCAACACAGTCCTACCCTAACACCAGAATCCCTGACCCAGGGGCATCCTTGGTTATTATATTTAAGCACTTTGTTTATTTGCTAAATACCCAGGAGCAGAGAAAAGGATTTTCAAAGAAATAATGCATTTTCGCTATATAATCAATAGAGCTACACCATAAAATACCAGAGCCCCTGACCCAGAGATTATGATATTCACACATCTGGAAAAGACACCGTTGCTTATCATAAGTATACACTTATTTATTTGCCTAATACCCAACAGCAGGGAAAATTTTCAAAGAAAAAACACATTCAGTACATAATCAATGGATCCACCACCACCAGAACCTCTGACCCTGGGGCCACAAATTTCACAATTTTGGAAGAGGCATCCTTCCTTATCATTACCAAATTTTGGTAGAGGGCTCATTACAAACATGACAACAGTTCAACTGCTTGATGTCCAGCAGTAAAGATTTTTTAAGTTGCATTAATTTTGATGGTTTTAACCCCCACCCCTCAAGCCCCAGGAGGGCAGGGACCATGAAATTCACAAGTTTGTTTTGCTCCCATCATAGATGCATATGCCAAAATTGGTTGAAATTTGTTCAGCGGTTCCAGAGAAGAAGATGAAAATGTTCAAATGTTAACGGACGACGCCGGACAAAAACGGAAATAGGTCATCTGAGTTACTCAGGTGACCTCAAAATATGTGATCTCTCTTTCCTTATATCACTCTCTATTTTGCATGGCACACATACATAATTTACAAAAGTTTCAAAAAGAAATTAACAATATGGTCACGTCCATGTAAGTTGAGAAGAGTTTAAAATGCCTGACAAACATGTTCGAACACAATGTCCTAGTTTGAAAATGCTACCTTAGAAGTTATGTGACGGAGTTTAGTATTCACAAAGTCACCTGAGGTAAGAAATCATGTTCTGAATTACAATATCCAACATGTCAGAACCCTTAGTTACAACAGAGACGGCGAATGTAAGAGTAAGTTTTTTTCTCTTTTAAACTATAAGCGCATGTTTGTGTATAATATCCTTTTGACACAACTTCAAGAATGCAAAATTACAACTACTGTTAAACGGAGAACAAGAGACAAACATGCATTGACTAAGTGTAAAATTAGTAAAAAAAAAAAAAAAAAGTGGGCGTCCTAATTATCGTTTGGAGATTCAAGAAATCGTGATTACCCCGCCTATGAAAACAGATTTGTACTTTGTAAACACACTTTTATTTAGTGTTATTACGTAAACTTGTAGATTGGATGTTGACCGTTCCTGCAATTAAAAGAAAAGTGCTCGTTTAGAAAGTTTATTTTGTCGCAAACTTCACGTCCTTAACAAAACGATAAAAAAAAATTGACAAAACGGACCAATGACGAAAAAACCTATTTCCAAGTGAATGAGATGGGGATACAAGTTCCAGCCTTTAAATCATTTTTTTTTTTCATATTAGACCATTCCCGGTACACTTAGAGAACAGGCACAACACTTCGTATTGTCTATTAACGAGAGAGAAAAGAGGGTACATCTCTGGTGTAGATATGCTGAATGTCGAATTCAAAATGTTGAATTTTATTAAACCGCTTGGGAGCCTCTATACTTGCATGATTTATTACAACAGAATCCCTTTCTTTCCATTCACTTCAATAACCTCGTGTTTCTTGCATAACTGTCACAACTGACACAGTAACTTCTCCTCTTACTCAAACAAAATAGACAAAGAAACCTTATTCTTCGTTTGTTCGAGAATTCAACGAAAGATTCACGAACAAATGAAGTTCTTGCATGCATTGTTGACATGTTAAGATGCAGAGAAACAAACAGCGGATATTTTTGATTTCTTTATTGCAATGGTGACTGCTATCGGTACAACTGAATTGTCTTAATTTCTTCGATATTCTGCAGCAGAAACCTATTATTCTTTGAGGATGTTGATATGGGCGGAAGAGCGAAAACAGATGTAGAGACAGTGAGATGGAGGCGATTGTCTTTTTTTTAAAGTTTTGATATACCGATGAGACACCGGAAACATCATCACTGATGCCGATTTGAACATTTGTCACGTTGTATCTGGATTAATAATGCTCCATTTTTTAGAATGATGGATCGGATGTGGTCAAGAACTTATGACCTCCAAAGGGACTGCCATTTCCTAAGCGATGGCATTTACCCGCCCGGATATCCTATAGTAACCCCTTTTACAGCAGCTCAAATTCGCCGTCAGCCACAAAATATCCGAGAAGAGTGCAAACGTGTTAATAAAAAGACTTGAAAGTACAGGGATTACATCGAGCACGCTATTCATTTAGTAAAGATTTTTAAGGTTCTATCTGTTCAAAGTGATATTTGAGACAACAAATCGGTGATATTGATACCTTTTGCCCATGTCTAGCGGTTGCAAAACAAAATTAATTTTTGACATAATGTTCCTTTAAATTACCAAAATTAACGGAAGTTAAATGAATTAGAACTAATTGATAGTCACATGCAATCATATTAATGAAAATAAAAGTCAAAAGAGTAAGAAATCTAATTCGCCCGAACAAAGAACTAATTAGTCTGGACGATGAATTTATTCATCCAAACATAAATATAATTCGCCCGAACGAAGAACTAATTCGTCCTAACGAATACCTTATCTGTTCGAAAGAATAGGTTTTTTAGGTCACCTGAGTCACTCAGGTGACCTATTGCTATCCGTTTTTGTCTGTCACGTCCGTTAACGTAAGCGTGTCGCTTCTCAAATTGTGAATCCCCCCCTCCGGGTCAGGGGTTATGGTGTTAGAGCAGGGCTCTGTGGATTATATAGTGAAAAGGCATTAATCTTTGAAAATCTTCTCTGCTCCTGGGTATTGAACAAACTAAATACATGGTTATAATAAGCAAGGATGCCTCTTCCAAAATAATGAAATTCATGGCCCGAAAATTGGAGGTTCTTGTGAAAGGGGGGGGGCTCTTTTGATTATATAGTGCAAAAGTATAATTTCTTTGAAAATATTCTTTTCTGCTCCTGGTTACAAAGCAAAGGAACTAAGTGTATACTTATGATGAGCAAGAGTGCCTCTTCCCAAATTGTGAATTTCATAGCCACTGGGTCATGGGTTCTTGTGTTCGGGCGGGGCTCTATTGATTTTAGTGAAATGCATTATTTCTTTGTAAATCTTCTTCTCTGCTACTGGGTAGTAAACAAACTAAGTACATAGTTATGATGAGCAAGAGTGCCTCATCTCAAATTGTGAATTTCATGGCTCCTGGTTAAGGGGTTACGGTGTTAGGGTAGGGCTCTATTGATTATATAGTGAAAATGCATTAATTCTTTGAAAATCTTCTTCTCTGCTCCTGGATATTATTTAAACAAACTAAGTGCGTAGTTATGATAAGCAAGGATGCCTCTTCCAAAATTATGAAATTCATGGCCACAGGATTGGGGGTTCTGGTGAAAGGGGGGGGGGGAAGGCTCTATTGATTATATACTAGTGACAAAGCATAATTTCTCTGAAAATATTCTTTTCTGCTCCTGCTTATAAAGCAAAGAAACTAACTGTAAAGTTATGATTAGAAAGAGTGATTCTTCCAGAGTTTCCAGAGTTTCATGGCCCCTGGGTCAGATGTTCTGATGTAGGGGTGGGGCTCTATTGATAATATAGTGAAAATACATTAATTCTATTAAATAATTCTGTCTGCTCCTTAGTGTTGAGCAGATAAATAAAGTGCATACTTATGATGACCAAGGGTGCTTCTTACAAAATTTTTAAAACTTGTGGTCCTAGTGTTTCGGGGGGGGGGGGGGGGGGGTTCTATTGCTAATGCAGTGAAAATGTGAAAACACCTTCAACTAAGTACATAGTTATGATGAAGGTACCTATTCAACATTTGTGAATTTCATGACCCTGGGTCATGGGTTCTGGTATAAGGGTAGGGCTGTGTTGAATCTGTAGTGAAAATGCATTATTTCTTTGAAAATCTTCTTTGGTCCTGGGAAGATTGGAGTCAAACATAGTAAATGTTTTAATAAGCAAGGGTATTTTTCCAGATTTTTGAACATCTGGATCATTTGGTCAAGTGTTTTGGTCCAGACCAGGGGTCTATTAATTTGTATTCCACTGAGAGAAGTTGTTCCCCTTTGCCATTCACTTCTTACAATTAATCACTGTAAATAATGTATTTGAAAGGTCAATAGAGTAAAAGAATGATGCAAGAAGTTTTATTGTATAATACAAAGAGTATTTTCAAACTTTTAATGACCAGGTACACTTGTAAATACATGTAATAGATAAATAAAAATGAGACAAAAATAACTCATTAAATGTTCTTCTAAGACCAAGAGAGGCCAATGTGAGAGGTTTTAATATGGGGTTAAAATAGTACAGAAGCACTAATAGTTTATTAATATTCTACATGGTGATAGTGATAAATGGGGGACAGATTAAAACTTAATGTATGAGTTGTTACTGTACACTAAACTAATTATTTCTTGATCCTGATCATCCTATTTCTCTTGCTTTTGAGCAACAAAGTTTCATCTATCAGTTATTTCATACTCCGTGGATCCTCTAAATTGTTGTATTATACTCAGGTGACCGTTAAGACCATTGGGCTTCTTGTTTTTATATCTGATCCTTCAGCAGAGCTTACTTTAATCTCCCAGGTAGAAATGTGCTCAACACTTCTAAAAATTACTTTCTTTTTTTTAAAAAAAAAAAAAACACCCTTCCTTTGATTCATTTGAAGAAATTTATTGTATCATATTTGATCTAACGTTGTACAATTTATATATGAAAATGATCAGAATGAAGAAGAAAAAGATTACAATATAATATTATACATGTACCAAAAAATTGAATCATAACAATTCACTTCATAACCTGACTAATGCTACCTAGAAACAGAAATATTTTAAGATAAAAGAAACTGATAATTGCATGTATAATGATGAACACTCTTTATAACAGAAGAAAAGGTGCACATTAGCATTCCATTAGTTGTATGCCTATGAAAATCAAAAACATTTAAAGGGTATTTTACGAGTTTCAGTCCATTCACGTCATTTATTACCAAATCGTTGAAACTAAGATTTGTTACTTATATGAATTTCTTAACAAATAAAATGATCACCAATAAAAAAAGTAAACTATTAGGAATTGATATTTTCAGTGAAGGGGAAATAAAATTTTGAAAAGAAAAAAAACTAAATAACAGATTGCATGCAGGCTCACATGCCCTCCCAAATAAAACCAAAGAATGGTAAACAACTTTATGTACTTATGGAAAAAATGCAAAAATTAACAAAAAATAGAAATGGGCAGCTACGAATTGAAATATACATTCTAATATTATATTAATGATATTGTGTATTATTTTTCCTGTCAATTTATAAATGAATTTAAGATTAAAAATAAAATAAAATCTTTATTAGCATCAACTTCCTTCAGTGAAAAGGTGTTAAACAGCTACAGATTGCTTGAAACAACGTTTTCAATGTGGTTTGTGCAACTGAACATATAATCCTATCAGTTATTCCACAGAGAGCAAATGAAGCAGAAATTTGGCTATTTATGTGCATGGATTTTTTTTCAAGAAGTAATTTTTATTAAACACCAAGGGGGTGGAGAATGTTCCTTTGTAATAAAAGCCCCATTCGTTCTCTTATCTGAAAGCAGATTAAATTTAGTTGACCATATAAATGTGGGAAAGCCGATGAATCGATTCGAAATGGATTTTCTAAATCGATTCCTTATATAATTTGTAATACGTGTACTACAAATATATTTAACACCAATTTTCAGCTATTCACTGCTTATTGTAAAAAGCTAAATGTTAAATTCTTATGTAATTGATTAATACCTGTACCAGCAAACCTCCAACTTGATAATTGCTTATTGCAATTATTCTATACGGGGGATAAGGGGTATTAAACTTGTCAGTAAATATTAATATAGAGATTTATTTTGTGATCGTATTGTATCTGTAAATCCATGCATGTAGGATTAAATTATCTAGATTTCATTTTGTATCATGGATTACAAATTGCTCAAAATAATCGGTGAAGGCAATTATATAGTAGTTGAATGTTTGATGTCATAAAAATCCCAATCTTAGGTGTTTTTCATGTATCATGTGCTGTTTTACAATACGGTGAAATATTACAAAGAAAAATTAATTACAAAGACAAATTATTTAGTATTTGGCTCCAGTCTTTGGCACTCTTTTTCCAGCTCTTCAAAGTCTTTTTTATTTAAATATTTTCTAAAATTTTAGAATGTGTAAATGTAATATGTATTAATGTGCAGCATGTAGACTGAAAGTACATATACACATATGGTTCCGAGCCTTTTTTTTCCCTTTTCCCTCCCCCCACTCTCCCTTTTTTCTCTTTCCTTTCCTTTTTCCATTTATTGTTCATTTCCCCTCTCTGTACTCTGTATCATCTTTAAAAATTAGTTTAAAATGCATGTCTTTGTAAAAGTTGAAATATATACCATTGTAACATTTCATGATTTGTACCTTGATCTCTAATGGAGAAATATAGGCCACTTTTGCCTGCTGTTCAATCCATGTTCATTAATATTGTATATACTTCATGTATATCGTGAATAAAATACTTCTTAAAGGAAACGAACACACTATTTTCTGACTTTTTGTAAAGGTATCTCCCATCAACAAATAACCCAGTTTTTGCATACATTCGACGCTGATTAAGTGTTTTGGTGGCGCAACAGCCAAGATTTGATTGAATAGAAAATAATCTTATTTTTGGTCATTAATTTTTTTCCAGGAGCGGTGATTTCAATGAGGCGGGAGGCAATTCCAAACAACAATTTTATTTTGGTCTTGAGCCTTTGTTTTTATTTTTTATTTTTACTGAATTTGACTACGGAATGTTCCGTCTACCTGATGGGTGTGACCAGTCAATAGAGGATGCTTACTCCTCCTAGGCACCTGATCCCACCTCTGGAATTTCCAGGGGTACGTGTTTTATGCCCCCTTCACAGATTTGTATTGTTTATAGATTTTTTTTTTTTTTGAGATCGATCACTGTTCATTATCTTAACCTTTTTCATTTCTCTCATGGATAATTCGAATTTGAAGCAGTTTTTCAACTTTCTTCATTCATGAATTTGAATTAATCTCCTAAAAACTGTCATCGATTGCCCGTTTACAGTAAATGTTTTACGTCCTTTGCTACCCTTCAACTAGGCTGGAGAATGGAACTCAATTTCGCAAAACTTCAAATTTAATCAATGATATAGAGAAACAGAAATATGTATTATTGACATTTTAATATCGAGGTAAGATATGATTAATACTTTTTCATAAATTTGTCAATCATATGGAGGCTGGAAGTCGACAGAAATGGTAAAAAATAAAACTTATTCACAATGAAATATTGAAATTAAATTTTTAGATATACTTTTAACATATAACTTTCTTTACAGGGAACGTATATATTTTTCTGCTTTTGTTTTCTCATATTGTCTGGAACTCATGTATCAGAATCTAAAAAGCAAGGTAAGTGCCATGTAATATCTTTTTTGTAGAAAAGATTTATACATAACTAGTACCTAAAACTCCAAATTTTATAAATGCAAAGAGGTAGGTCTATCATTTAAGGAAGTAGTTTACTTAATTACTATGAGTAAATATCTATTGGTATGTAAACATTTAAATTAAACCTAGAATAACCAATCAGAAACTTGTTTTATTCTCATTAGGTCCAATTTTTGTATATTATTGGTGATGTTAAATCGTGACTATCTACCTCTCCTTTGAAATTTAACATAAAAACAAAGCCATATAACGAAATTCATGAATGCATAAGAACATATGAAAATAACTTAGTTTTAATTAAGTTAGAATCTTATAATTAGAAAAGAACAGGCTCCGGGGCCATAAAACTTAGATCAGCTAACTTTTCAATTCAATCTCACTTTTCCACTTTTAATTCCTTTTGTTAAAGTGAAATTGAGATCAAAAGTGAGCTCATCTAAGTTTTATAGCCCCGGAGCCAGATCTAGACACTCAAAGGCAGACGAATTATAAATGGAATCCTTACACCATGATCATTTTTCAGCTAACTTAATAACTATGAGGATATACAATTCTTAACTTCAAACTGGTGAGTCATTCACATTGCATGTAACTCAATGCCTTTAAAATGCACTGTCAAATCATTTACTTAAGTTTCACTTAATTTTGTGTACCTAATTCCCAGTAAAGCATGTAATATCAATTATTTTTCGCATGTTTTGATTTCTTTCGTATTTTACCAACATTATATTTATCAATTTTAATTATTTACACCAGATTTTACCTTTGCATCTTAATATGGAATTAGCATAACAAGACATTTTAAATGAATAAACATTGGAAACCCCATTCCTGCATTCACGTAGTGTATTTTCGAAACAATCAACGAATAATAAGGAATGTATTTGAGTGGTGCTTTATCCTACAGATTAAAACTATATGGCATTGACTTTTGCATTTGTTTTTTTTTTAATTGAAACTTTCACACATATTACAAATACATGTACAAATTTATATGTAGATATATGTACAAAACAGAATCCGAATACGTAATAGTTTATTAAGAAAGAGAGAGAGAGGCAAGCTCTAACTTGACGTTTTGTCTTGAACATACTCAGTTTCAATTAAGCTCGCAATTGAGAAAGAAAAAGAAAAAAAAGAAAGAAAAACTAGAAACAGTGCAGTTTTGAGGGATTCACTTGCAACATATTAAAGTGATTGCCAAAAAAAATCAAAAAATTGAAATATAACAACCCATTTCTGCCAGAAAGTGTTATAGTCAGTAAGTTTTTTTTATCATCTTTTACAGTGTATTTCAAAGCTGTAAAATGGGATTTAAATAGATTTAGAATTTGATGTTTTGATCATTACATTAATAACTGTACATCTTATTATACAAAATTAATTAAAATTATCAAAATGAAAAAAGTAAAAGACGTAATGATAATCTTTATCTTTTTATTCCGATGTTGATTATACTAGTTCAAAAAAAAAGACCAATGTTTTTTTTTTATTATTTTCAAAGGTCACAAGAAGAAAATAAATTCGTTTAATTTTAACTTTAAATAAAAAAAAGAGAATCTGATCGAATTCAATATTCATTCTACTTCAAACAGAACACATGCTAACCGGCCAGATTTATATAGTATTGACTGTTACATGTACATGGAAGTAAAAGGGTTTTCATGCATTTTTGGTTTCTTGTGATAATATATAAGTACATCCAAAGAAGAATTAAATATCGTCTGTAATTATGTTCATCGAAAGTCATCTTCAGTTTGTATACAATCAAAAAAGTTTTAAGATTTGTGGATTTTGTGCAGATAAGTTACTATTGACTCTTGGCTTTTTAATGTCAAAAAAGCACCCTTCGTAACCGCTTAGATACAGAACAATTTAAAGTTCTTTACTAATCTTTTTAATGGTAAAGATTAACATGATAAAATTTATATAAGCTTTAAATGAGAACATTTCCTACTTGATATGTCTTGTTTTTGTAAACAATTTGAAACTTTCAAATTTGAATTAATTGATTCAATACTTACCGACTTCATGTCTTCTACTTAATTCCACTTAATAACAGATGATACAGACAAAGAAATGGATGACTGGATTGATATACATTTTTGGGCATATTTTGGTTGTATACAGCACAAATATCAAATTTCTAAAATATAAAATTGTAACTTTCTATATATAATGTTCCAAAGTCTACCTTTCTGCAATAATCGTTATTCATCTATACAACTTTTTATCCTTCTATAGGACATTATTGTGAAATTTTGAAAGAAAAAGTAAAATCTATGCGGTTAAAGTTATCCATTTTACTTACATAAACATAAATTTAGTTATTTTCATGATTTTTGAAAAAAAGTTTGTATAATCTGTCCTCCAAAAAAATAAAAAAAACATTTAAAGAGACTAAATAAAAAAAATGTGCCTCTTCTATACTTCACATTGAACATCATGATATTTTGTAGAAGAATAAAGTAGAAATCATAATTAAATTAGTGAAAATTATGTCATCTCTATAGATGTCAATCATTACCTTAGAAACCCCAAATTTGGATTCCATTTTCTGCACTTTTGTGTAGTCTTTTTAAGAAGGAATTATTATATTTTTAGGTATGTATTTACAACACAATGTGCAGGGAAATTCCAGGAAAACAAACTTGGAATAATGTTTCATGCACAAGAACAAATTGAAATGTGATTATCACTAAAACATATGAACTGTAATTTTTCCCTTTGCAGTCCATTACAAATTAGCATAAAAATTATCGTAAAGTTAAAAAAAAATCATTTCTCAAATTTTCTTCAGGGTGAATTGTTTTAAACGTTTAAGAAAATATGAGATAATCCAATATGCTTTTTCATTAAATGAAGATACTTTTTAAATTTATGTATTGTAGAATGCAAAACAGCCACAAAAGATGTAGTATTCTTGCTAGATACTTCGGGTTCTGTTGGGGCTGTGGCGTTTGAGGAAGTTTTAAACTTTACAAAGGCAATCGTTTCGACATTTAGAATTGGTCCACAAAACACCCTGGTTGGAATTGAAACTTTTGCTTCAATTGTGCATCATCAATTTGCTTTGGATGTTAACAAAAACATGGCAACCTTACTGACTGCAATCGACAGCATACCGTATCAAAGCGGTGGAACGAATATAGTAGCTGGTTTGGAATACGTTATCAAAAATAGCTTCAAGGCTGGTGGAAGAAGAAATGCAGATAAAATTCTTATTTTAGTCACTGATGGTCAAACATACTCCCCAAATGCAACGGCAATGCAAGTGAAATCGCTGCGTAAAACAAATATAAAAGTGTTCTGCATTGGTGTTGGACTTTATGTTGATCCAAAAGAACTTCAACACATAGCTTCGGGTGCGAACCATACATTACTAATTAAGGATTACGACTCACTTTCGAACACGATAAGAAAACTTCACGCGGCCATATGCAAAGGTAAAAAGCAGTATTTTGCAAAATAATATAGTATTAGTTTAATTGCTACTTTAAAATTGAAAACATAAATTGTATATGAAAAGTTGAAAAGCCTTTCTGTATAATTAGATATCCTTCAGGAGTCGACTACACCTCATGTACTTTCAACAACGAAAAGAACTGCTGCAACAACAAATATTCGTAAATTTACGAAAAGAACAACCACCCTACACTATGCATCGACAACAGTGCCAACTACATTTACAACAAAGATAAAACCAAATTATGTAATTTCGAAAACTCGTTCTCCAAGTACAGTTAAACAAGCTTTGATTTCAGTGCATGCATTTCCAACTACGAGAAAAACTTCTGCAACAACAAATATCCATAAATTAACGAAAACAACCACCACAGATCATACATCGACAACAGTACCAACTACACTAACAAATATAAAACTAAGTTCTACAATGTCGAAAATGCGTTCTCCAAGTACAGTTAAGGAGGTTTCGACTCGTGCTTACATTCAAACACTGAGAATGACAAAGTTCGTATCACCCATTTCTGTTAAAGCACATAACAGAATATCAACGACCAAGCAGAGCGCAACAGAAGAAAGGAAAACACGTACAACTATCCATACAAGACAAAAAACAAATCTTGAGACAACCAATTCAGGTACAATTAAAACATTAGAAAGATTAACTAAAAAATTTTCACCTTACTTATTATAAAACTTAGACAGCTTGATTATAAATGCTTGTTCTCTTGCATTTATCAGATTAAGTACAATCAGTTTCAGTTAAGTACAACTAATGTGTCTATTTGGATGCTTACCCAGCAATTATGAAAATGCTTTATAATGAAAAAAAATGTTTTTGTACTTAAGTGAAACATACAGATACTAGCACATAATAAATGTAAATCAAAAAAAAAAAAGTTTATACATTCCAATGATTCATAACTTTACGTTTTGCTGTGTTAATTGTATAGTTTCAAGAAACAGAAAAGCACCAGTGTACCTACGAGACTTCATTCATGGATTTGAGTATCTAGAAGTGGCCATTCTTACTCTTGTTACTGTCATCGCTATAGGAGCCTTTGGTTGCTGTTGTCGATTCTGTGTCCTCTTTGCCAAACGCAGAGAAAGAGAGGAGGAAGAAAAGCCAAAACGACAACAACCCTGTAAGCGTCCAAAAGACTGGCCTTCTTATTAACATAATGAGTAAAATACTTAATAGTTATGCATTGTTATTCTTAGTCGTACAATAAAAATTTCAATCGTCTTTTAGTGTATTCTTTTCTTTTTGCTCAGTCATTTTGTTCTTATTGTGTCGCCTGTAGAGCAGAGCGACTTTACCCTGTCTGTCCATCTGTAACACCTTATATCTCGAGAACTGAAAGGTATGGATTTGATATTTTGCGCATATATTACTTGACACTATGGTCATTGTAAAATACCATTGAACTTGACTAACTTTTCAAAATAGTTCAAAATGCCGAAAGGATTTTAAATTTAATCTCCTACATTGTAAAGGCCTAAGAAAGACCCCCTATTGATTTGAGGTCAAAAGATCATTATTCATACGTTTTCCATATAATTTTCTTCATTAATAAAATTAAATACCACAACTCCCTTTGGCGTAAAAAAGGCCCTTATTTATTTTGAGGTGAAAAGGTCGAAGGTCAGAAATTCATATATTCTTTCTGTGTAACACTTTTGTTTCCAGACTATATCGTAAAAATCCCCTAGAAACTCTGTGGCCTCAAAAACCCATATTAATTAAGAGGCCAAAGGTCAAGGTCAGAAATATTATATTGAATACATAATTTTCAAAAAATGATAATTTTATGATAGTTTTTATGTGTGTGTTTGCAACGAAACTTGAGGTCATGAGTTTCTTAAATTTTAAAAAAAGAATCCTATTGACTTTTCGGTCAAAAAGCTGAAAGGTCAGGATTGGTCACAAAGGTCACAAACAGTCCATCACTGAGTACACCTTTCCGTAGACAACGAGAAGAATTTTGGATAAGAAAGCTAGGGACAGCCTTTCCCTATGGATGTAATGACAATGTCGATAGTGTTGAAAATCTTTCCAGTCCACAGTGTAACAATGTAAATGTGATGGGACTTTTTAACCATACACAGAGACGTAAGCGTAGTCATGGGCATCGGTCTTGCAATAAACCTTTAATACACGATGTCTGTTTTGATTCATTACTACCTTACGTAAATCAACAGTTAGGTCTACATCATATTCGCACCAAACTTTACTCTGTCCCTTTGAAACTTTTAAATAGTCTTCTTGAAAAGGTCAAGGAAAGTCCATTTTTTGATTCCTCGACACCAGAATATAGGCTCGGATCTGTAATTATGGATATTGCCAATCATAGGCTTTTTAAACCCCCGCGTTTTACTGAAGAAAATGCAGCTAAAACAATCCGTTTTTTCCTTAAACTTCAATATGCCAACAAAGGAATTGACGCGGTTAATATAAGTAATATTCTTAATCACAAAAGGGTCCAGTCTTGTACTCCACCATATTTGAAGTTAAAGACTCCACCTTGTATTTCCTACAAATATACATCGACTATTGCTTCCAAACTTTTTAATTACAAGAAAACTTTACAGGGCCTGGATATCGAATATCTGAAGCATAATCCTCCATCGTGTTCATGCTCTTCTTCGCCCTATAACTATAGTCCTGCTGGACACGTTATTACTGGTGACGTAAATATAGTTAATAATGAGGACCTTAGATCACTAATTTTAAAAGGTCCTAAATTTAGGGAACCCAGATCCTTCAACTGGCGTCGGAATTTCATAAATATTATGGATTCTGTAGAGGACTATGCCAGGCGATGGACCAGACATGAAAAAGAAGACCTTGACGCTTTGTCAGAATGGATTAAATGTATCAGATGTATGTTAAAATCGCGCATTAAAAGATTGAGAGGCAATATGAAAACCATCTATCATTCTGTATTCAATAATCCAGAAGTGAAAAAAGAATTAGATATATTACATGATCAGTACGTACTGGTCCCTGCTGACAAAGCAGGTAACAACATTGTCTTTGTTTGTAAGGCTCATTATATTAAATGTATTTTAGAGGAACTTGGATTTAATTCTACAAGTGGTAATCCAACTTATACTCATAGTTCCCTTTCTAAGGAAGATATTCTTCAAAATCATATGTCAGTTTTGAATATTTTTAATATTCCAAACAACCAAAATGAATTTGAATTACCATATTTATATTTGATTCCGAAACTTCATAAAAATCCTTACAAACAAAGATACATAGCGGGTTCCAGTAAATGTTCAACCAAACCTCTATCTTTACTCCTCACTAAGATATTAACAGTGGTGAAGGAGAAACTTCAAGAGTACTGTGCAACAATATATTCGAGAAGTGGTGTAAATCAGATGTGGATACTTAAAAATTCCAAGGAACTTTTGGAAAATTTGAAATCACAAGATTTTACCAAAATCAACAGCTTAAAAACTTACGACTTTTCAACTTTGTACACAACCATTCCCCACGATAAATTAAAGTCCAGGCTTTTTGATATCATTGACAGCTGCTTTTTCAATAAAAATGGAACTCGTAAATATACTTACCTTGTCATTGGTCATTTGCAAAATTATTTTGTTAAAAAACATTCTGATTGTTCACATAAGTACTCTGAAGTTGAAATTAAAAAGATGCTTGAGTTTCTGATTGACAATATCTATGTGGTTTTTGGAGACCAGGTCTTCCAACAATCTATTGGAATTCCCATGGGTACCAATTGCGCCCCGTTATTAGCAGACCTTTTCTTGTATTCATATGAAGCAGAATTTGTCCAAAATCTTGTACGTGAAAAGAAGAAAACACTTGCTGTGGCCTTCAACTCGACATTTAGATATATCGACGACGTATTGTCAATTAACAATGGCTATTTCCATTCTTATGTCGATACGATATATCCTTGTGGACTTGAGATAAAAGATACCACAGAGTCTGACACATCTGTTTCATATTTGGATATTTTACTTGAAAAAGACGTTAATGGTAATCTAACAACCAAGCTTTATGATAAACGTGATGACTTTAACTTTTCAATCGTCAACTTCCCTTACTTATGCAGCAATATACCTTCATCACCTGCATACGGGGTATATATCTCTCAGTTGATTCGATACGCAAGAGCATGCTCTACGTATATACAATTTCTAAAACGAGGTAAATTATTGACAAATAAGTTGATGAAACAAGAATATCAGCTGTCTCGTTTAAAGTCATCATTTCGTAAGTTCTATGGTCGATACAATGACCTTGTCAGCAAATACAATTTATCACTGAGTCAAATGCTGACTGACGTTTTTCATACTAATTGTTAGGCCATTATTTACACACTGAATTGTCGACGGATTTTTCCGTTATTTCCCGATCATGACAAGGAGCACACGGCGGGTGTGACCGGTCGGCAGGGGATGCTCACTCCTCCATGGCACCTGATCCCACCTCTGATGTTTGGAGGTCCGTGTTTGCTCTGCTCCTATTTTGTATTGATTAATGGACTTTTGAGCTTGAATGCTGTTCGTTATCTCCATATATTTCATTGACCTATTTTCTTTCACCATCTGCATTGTTTTACAGTTCTTCCACCCTCGTTTTTCCTTAAGAGGGGACACAAATTCTCTGAATTAGCTTGTTGACATAATAAGGTAGTCTTTGCAATTTAGCATGTGCACTATTTGTCAGGAAACAGTATTAAAAATAACAGCGTTAAAGTCCAACTGGCCTTGACCTACCTTGCAAAGAAAACCCGTAATAACTATTCAATTTGTTTTTGTTTTGTTTTGTTTTGTTTTTTTTTTTTGAATTTTGAGAAGTAGGGTTTTAATAATTAGAATTTATATCACATGTTTACATGTATGAACATATAACACCGTTCTTTTAAGCTTTCCACACAAGCTGTCATTTAAATACTAGAAAAAAATCATCTGGATCGGTATTCCAAAATGGATCATTGTAGACTGACTATTACAGTAAAGACAGACTGAATCCTGTTTGGAGGATGGTTGAAAACTTATGTTAATAAAATGATAAACAATTATTTCTATTTTCAATTTTATTAATCATTTTTGCTTTGAGGGTTCGAGAATCGCAGTCTTACCATCCGTGGATGTTTTTTTTTTTGCAGGAAAATTCGTGAACTATAAAGCTAGTAGCAAATAAATAGGTGACCACTCCATCATAAGTGACACTATAAAGCAGGCGACACGTGTGTTCCTTGGAACACTCTAGTTAATACATCTGCATCTCTTTAAGAACAACTTGAACATCTGATATTTTTCATGGAGATAAGTTAACACATTTGATAACATGAACCTATAAAAAAAAAACTATCGTAAACTGAAGTTTTCTATTAGTAAATCAAATTATCAAAGTAATCCCTCTAGAAAATCACAGCTACCACTACACTGCCATAGTAATCAATATAATTTCATAGTTATCACTATAGTGTTATAGTTATCACTATAGTAAACCAAAGTTATAACTATTGTAAATTGAAGTGTCAAAGTTATCACTATGGTCTCCATGACTTTACCTGACAATATCTTGTCAATTATCAATCAGGACACCACAGTGTACACACACTCTGTACAATTGTCTATTTTGCTACATAAATAATCTTTATGTCAATCTTTTATAATGCTTTATAGGCAAGAATCAGACATTGGGCATGCTTTGCTCAATAAACCGAACATTCGTTTTATTTTGTTTTTATATAATATTATATAGCATTCATTCTTGTATTCTCATTCAATCAAATAACCTGTTAATTAAATTATATGCAAGGATTTCTTGATTAATACAATTTAGCAAAGGGAAGTAACTCTCATTTGCTTCACTAATTACAATTTTAAACTCTGTTTGTCTGCTAGATACCCAGGAGCAGAGAAGATGAATATTAATTTTTATTTATACATTTACATTTATATTATTGCATTTAGTTTGTTTGCTTAATACTCAGGGACAGAGAAGATTTTCAAAGCATTGATGCATTTTCGCTATATAATCAACAGAACCACGCCCTAACACCAGAACCCCTGACCCAGGGGTCATTTTGGAAGAGTCACTCTTGCTCATCATAACTATGCATTTAGTTTGCTTAATACCCAGGAGGAGAGGAGAATATTTTTTTAATAAATAAAGTATTTTCC